TACAGGACGGTGGTGAGACCAGCCATGATGTATGGTTTAGAGACAGTAGCAATAGGCAGAAGACAGGAGGAGGAGCTGGAGGTGGCAGAGTTAAAGATGCTAAGATTCTCTTTAGGAGTGACAAGAATGGACAGGGTCAGGAATGAGGTCATTAGAGGGACAACACAGACAGGAAGGTTTGGAGAAAAAGCTAGAGAAGCCAGATTGAGATGGTTTGGACATGTGCAGAGGAGGGACAGTGGATACATTGGTAGAAGAATGTTAGAGATGGAGCTACCCGGTAGGAGAAAGAGAGGAAGGCCAAAGAGGAGATATATGGATGCAGTGAGGGAGGACATGCAGATAGTTGGAGTCAGAGTAGAAGATACAGAGAACAGGGAGAGATGGAAATCAATGATCTGCTGTGGCAACCCCTGAAAAAAAGGGACAAAGCCGAAAGAAAAAGAAGAAGACTTTCTTTTTTATTAAATAAATGTGGATGTATTGATAGATAACTAGTAGTATTTTTAGGTACACTGTGTAAGATTTAGATATAAACATTTTAGATTCCTCATTTTCTTAGTTTATCGTGACATATGATTAATTATTACAGACTTAAGAAGCAAGGAGTAGGCATTCACTCATGTGAGAAGTAATACTTTTGCAAGTGCACGTTTGCCCCTTGATGGTCAAATTTCTTCCCTACTTTTGTCATTATTATTGATAATTACTGATTGATTTATTGTCCAACATGAGCTAGATTCACCCCACCTTTTTTTAAAAAATAAGCTGTACAAGAAAAAATGCTTCCAAATGCCATCCCTTGGACTAAAAGTTGAAGTTCATAATCATTGATATTATTTACAACAGACCTAATAACTGTACTGTGAATAATAAGTGGCGGTGAGTGCTAAAATTGCAATACAAAATGTTAACACCAGCATGATGGTATTTACAGTTTACCACATTGCAGCTGCACTGAAAATCAGCTGAGGCATCCTTAGTAATGCAATGTGTTAAATGGCGTTGTGTGACACCTTTATATATGTGCGACATATTTTGTTATATAACTGTAAATTCAAAGAATTTCATCAATATGTATATTACATTTCACCATGATTTCACCGCTTATTATCGATTACCGCTAGCCTGCTCCGTGGTTGGTTTGAACTGCGTCACGATTCAAGTGGACACCTGGATCTGTGATTGGCTAAGACCGAACATCCGGGCACTTGCGGCAAAGCGAGCCCATTATGCTAAAGGTACCAATATGGCGGAGGTAAGACGGAAACGGGGGAAAAGCTATCGCTCTTAAATCAATATTTTTTAATTTTTGACCTTGAATTTCTCACTTGTATGTTATCGATTAAGTACATTTCTGTTTTTTCCGTTGATACAGAGTGTTTAGAGTCCAATTTTGTTTTTAATCCTGAAAAATATGCTTAAATATTCGGACCGATCCTTTACTACAGGGCCGCTGCGCCTTCGCTCTCAGCTGTTTCGGTGTAGCGGCTATGGAATACAGTTTACCACATGCACAGAAAATAGCTGAGGCATCCTCAGTAATGCAATGCGTTAAATGTCGTTCTGTGACACATTTATACTGTATATGTGAGACATATTTTGTTATATGACTGTAAATTGAAAGATAATACCGTTTTTCATTGTTTATATATATAATACCGTGTGTTTATTACATTTCACCATGAATTCACCGCTTATTATCGATTACCGCTAGCCTTCTCGGTGGTTGGTTTGAACTGCGTCACGACTCGAGCGGACACCTGGATCTGTGATTGGCTAAGACCGAACATACGGGCACTTGCGGCAGAGCGAGCCCATTAAGCTAAAGGTACCAATATGGCGGAGGTAAGACGGAAAACAGGGGAAAAGCTATCGATCTTAAATCGATATTGTTTTATTGTTTACCTTGAGTTTCTCACTTATATGATATCGATAAAGTAGGTTACTGATTTTTTTCATTGATACAGAGTGTTTCGAGTTAAATATATATTTTTTAATTCTGGAAAATATGCTTAAATGTTCGGACCAATCCTCTACTACAAGGCCGCTGCGCCTTCGCTCTCAGCTGCTACGGTGTAGCGGCTATGGGAATTGAGATGTAAATTTAACGTTAGCTTGCAGATAAAAAATGTTATAACTGGATGCATTCTGTTCGTGATCAATGAGAAATAAGTTCAAACTGCCTGGGTTGAATTACAGATGCATATTTAGAGAATATACTGTAACACTGTCGATTGTAGTGCGCAAACCAAATTAGTGTTTACGTTTTTCGATGGATAGCGTTAAAAGTCAGCTTCTGGTTAGCTTATTGGCTAACTGGTAAAATTTTCGACAGTGCCATCATCTTTTGCCTCACTTGGTGTGTTCCATTCCAATTATTTTTCTCTGAAAGTGGTCACACAAGGGTTTCCATTTAATTTGAGGTTTTAAAGCTGTGTCTTGCTCATGGTCGCCATTAGTGTAGCGTCCATCACGACGAATGTATTAGCTGCCTGTTTCAGGTAACGTTAGCAGCAATACTAATTTTTGTTTTCTACAGACTGTATCTCCTGGTCAGAATATAGGCCATTTACAGATTTCACTTGTTTCTTAGCGGTAGTAAACAGTGTGGTCAGATTTAACCAACCGTTTTAACCATTGGATTTATTCTTTTGCAGGCTTCCCTAGGGGGTTCAAGTCCAGGTAAGGGAAAGCCGTGTCGTATACATTGTCTTTTATAACAATAATGAACAACCATAGTCGGTGTAAAGATGGGAAAGTTATAATATATATATATATGTAATTTTATATTGGTTAAGCCACATGTGTTTTTTGGAAATTTTGAATTAAACTACAGTATAAATTCTACAAATATAAAGATTTTTCTTTGCCTAACAGGTAGTAATCAATTCCACAATGAGATTACTTTTTTTGACAGTTTAATTAAAATTACATTAAAAGACAATTTATGGCTCATAATGTAACCATATTTTATGTATTCTTTAAATAGAAATCCATAGTCGTCAGCTTGTGTAATGTAAAATTAAACATTTAAACAGTGTATAATGTAAATTTATTATTATTCTATTTTGCACACAGTTGGATCTTTATCATCGGAAGATCATGACTTTGACCCAACAGCAGACATGCTAGTTCATGAGTATGATGACGAAAGGACGCTGGAAGAGGAGGAGTCGCTGGATGGAGGAAGAAATTTTAGTTCTGAAATTGCAGATCTGGAAAGGGTAAGGGTGGGCATACACTGTACGATTTTAGCCCGTTTTTGACCCGATTTTTGAGACCTGGCGACGCTCGGCCCGATTTCCCGTTTCGTCGGTTTATCTGTTCCCGAACCACCGTCGGACGGTCGGAAGAATTTCTGACGTGTCACAAATTTTGGTCGGCTGACAAATTCTTTCGCACAGTGGAAGCAGAGCCCCGAGCGGACCGGAGTATTTCTCCCTCAGTGCGCCTGCGCAAAGTGATAGTCACCATGGTGAGGCGTCGATGGCATGAAAATATGGAGGTGAGATTGATGGAACTGTGGCACTGTCCACAAACGTAATAAATAAACAATAAACGTACTGTCCACGTTTATTGAGCCATCTCCGACTCCAGATGCGCCGACACCTCTTCTTTTTCGAATTGTCAGCGCACAGTATCGCAGCAATCATAATCGCAGCCTTCTTCTTTTTGAATAGCATGTTGCTAATAACAGACGTTGGAGCGTTCAAATAAATCTTTATTGACAGCTGTCAATAGACAGGACAGTCTGCAGGGGCCGACGGGCCGTTTTCACCCGCACAGTGTGAGCTCTCTGGTCGTGTTCGATGATCGGACCGTACAGTGTGAGTACATAAATCGCGAGCTTTGTCCGTACATCACTCGTACGGCGTGTGATGGTATCAGCGACAAGATTTTCAAAAATCTGTTCAATATACTTATTCAAACAGGGTTTGTAGCTTTAAAGGCCATAATAACACATTTAATTGGTTCTAAATATACATATATAAGGGGTAGTATAATTAATGCATTTTCTGTTTATAGTTTGTAGTGTATTTAAGTTTGCCAATTTGAATTGTAAAAATGTGTAAACTGAAATAATAACAGTTTTATATTTGAAAAATACATTCAAAGAAATGCAACTTTAAGATGTTGAGTGTAAAAGATATGCCTATTTTAAATCAAACTGACTCTCATCACTAGGAGGGGACCATGCCTTTAGAAGAACTGTTGGCCATTTACCGATATGAGGCCTCAGCAGGTTCCAGCGTAGACAGCTCCTCTGGAGACATGACTGATGAGCTGCCTGACATGACTTTGGACAAGGTAAATTTAAAGGTTTCTCACAGATTGCAAAAAATCACATCACATGGCACATGATCTACAGTTGTACAGCTTGAGCATTTAGTTTTGTACTCAGTGTTTATATTTCACACACAGTTGGTAAGACTACAGCCTGAATGTAATATTCTTCTCATTAAGGAGGAAATTGCAAAAGATCTGTTGTCCGGAGACTATGAGGAAGAGACCCAGTCGTCAGCTGATGACCTGACACCATCAGTCACTTCCCATGAGACTACAGATTTTTTTCCAAGAACACTTCGATGTAAGTGTTAAAGTACTTTTGTAGCAATTCAGTGTTTAAATGATTAGTCTGAGTGACAATTTTTAGTTGGTGATTGCATGTATTTGACAGATGTAATAAAATAAGAATCTTATCGTATATTGCATGTCTAGTTCATCAGCAGCTCATCACTTGAACCTTAGTATCTCTGTAAATATCTGTTGGTTGAAGTATTTCTATTTTTATAATTTTTAACAGCCAATGCTATATCTGACGGTGATAAAGAGTCTGAGTACGATGATGATGGTCCATGCCCAGAAGACTCTCGAAAGGTAAGAGGTATTTTATTTTAGACAACATTCAGAAATTCCCTCTATAAAAATAAAAGCATCATGTTAAATAAACTGAAAGGTGACAATTGACAAGGGAAGACAAATACAAGCACAAAAAAAATCCTTGGATATAATAAATAATAATATTAATAATAAATAACATAATGAACGTTATGGCAGCTAATTAACTAATTTTTAGGTTCACACAGGGAAAATACTGTGCCAGAAGATCATTAAATTGGTTAGTTAGATTAGTTTTAATGCGATCTCAGATTAGATTCATCCAACTGTTTGACTCATTCTGAATTGGCTGTAATGGAATTCCTGTTCTGGAAACTATAAAGACTAGTAATATATGTCTATGAAGATTCTCAGTCATCCGCTACTTTACTCTTTGGTAAAAATGTAATTTTGTTATTTAATAACAGGAAATAATGGTTGGGACACAGTATCAAGCAGAGGTTCCCTCTAGCCTCTCTTACTACAAGGATGGAGAGATGGGTGAGTTACACTGTAGATAACTTTAACTTTATATTTGTGTCTGACATGACAAATATAAACCAGCTGACTTGCATCACTTTGTATTTTGTTATGCAGCGTATGAAGAAGAGGACGAGTTATTGTGGAGCCCAGGAATGATGGCAGAAAACAAAGTTAGGAGTTTCCTGTTGGACGTTTTGTCAAGAACAGCAGATGAAAAGACGACGTGTGACAAACCAGGCACATATGTAGGAGACAACGAGCAGGTCAGTGTCATTTCATGTAACCTGTAATAAACTTGATTTTAAACTTTAAAGAAAAATCAATACATACTACTACATGGGTAATATACAGGTGTATCTAGTACTGTGAGCTTTAGATACTTGCTTGCTTCCATTCAGTTCTGATTCTGTTTGAAAAGTAGATACAATAGATTTCTTTAATCCCTGTTTGCTTGGACCCATGTGCGTTCTCTGAAAGATGGCCATTAGTTTTAAATATTTGACTGACATCAGTCCAGTTTTGACCAGTCCAATCTTTTCATATAGGCTTTGCACGAGCTTGTGAAGTGTAACTACAACGGCCTCGAAGCACTAGAGAGATACTGCAGTCGCATCAAGTCTTTGAAAGGTAAGAAAACGTAATGTTGAACCTTAATGCAGTTGAGGGTTGTGTTTTTTTCAACTGCCATTACGAAAAAAAAATGTTAGAAAATGTTTTTTTACATTTTTTTTAAATAGTCTAGGAATTGTTTAGGTTGTTAATTGAAGTCAGAAGAAATACACTACACTATGCCTACAGTATTTTTCTTTGAGAAATGTGTAAATGAATGTTTAATAATTGAATAAAATCGACTTTAATATGACATTGTCTTTAAATACAAACAATTCTATACATGTTTACTGTTAAGTTGATAAATAACTTTTTATTTTGCATTTCAATTTTTAATTTGATGCTTTCCTTCTGTAAATTCTTGAAGAAATCAACTGAAACATGACCTCTTTGAAGCTCCAATGTGAAGAAAACTTAAACATAAATCTAATTGCTTTATCGATGAAAGGGTTAAAAATGATAAAGCATTGTGAATAAATTCTACTAATTCTCCATTGATTTTAAGAGATGAGATCGTATTGGATTCAACTGACTTGTTGGGTTATCTTCCCAAACTTGCCTGAGTGGTTGTGCAATATATAGATGTTTTTTCTGGTTTTATTTCAGGAAAATCACCCCCGTGGTCAGAAGAGGAATGCAAAAACTTTGAACACGCACTACAGATGTATGACAAAAATTTCCACCTCATACAGAAACACAAAGTGAGTCTTCTTACATTATTTTTTCCAAAATATGTACACCTGCTTTTGGACTACTTCTAATTTAGTTTTTTTTTTCTTTCCCCAGGTCACAACGCGAACTGTAGCAGAATGTGTGGCTTTTTATTATATGTGGAAAAAGTCAGAACGCTTCGACCTGTTTGTGCAGCAGAATCGGTTTGGAAAGAAAAAATACAGCAGCTATCCTGGAGTAACGTAAGTGGCACAATAGCTGTCTGTGTTATTTGAAAGAAAGAAAGTTGACTACTTGTCATTGTGACACTGCACACACACGTGACCTCTGCTTTTAACCCATCATCAAAGTGAACAGTGGGCAGCTTCAACAGTGTGTGGGGACGGTGCCTTGCTCAGAGCACCTCAGTGGTATTTTGGCAGCTGGTGGACTTGAACCTGAAGCCTTCCAGCCCCAAGTCCGCTTCCTTAAACGCTAAGCCATCACTGCCCCATTACAAATACGTTAACCTTCCTCTTGTGTTAGGGTCGGCACTGACCCGTTTTTAAATTTTAAATGCATAAAAGAATTGCATAAATTTGTTAATTGCATCAAGGCTTTTTGACTTTGTCAGCAACCTCTATTTCAACAAAATAAAACAAAAAATAATAATTTTTCATTAAATGCTCTGGTGGAAATTATGACCTTTGTATTGTTAGGGTCTGTTTTGACCCAGTTATAATAATGCAATAAATAATGCCAAAACTAAAACATAAGTGCACCGTCAGCTGACACACTGACACCCAGCTCCTCTCCTAATCATGTGAGCTTTAGGGGATTATCATTTTGTGTGGTTTTCCAGTATACCTGCACAAAAACAAAACAAACAAAAGATGGCCCTGTCCAGACATGTGAGGTGAATTCAGTCATTTAAGTGGCCATTTGACTTGCAGAGTGCACATTTACAAGTTGCAGCATGCAAAAATGAGTAGAAGATTTACAGTGAGCCTTGTTCTGGATCATGTTTTTGGTGAAAATGACGGAAAGGACACAGAGCAACATAGCGATTCAGATGAGCAGGTTTCTGAGGAGGAAGACAATGTGGAGTATCATCCAAAAGGCACAGACACATCTGATGAGTTGGATGAGGAGGTCACTGGTGCTGATGTTGCTCCTGC